CCTGTGGGTACTGAGGGGACAGACATCATGCAGGTCTTCAAAACCCATTGCAACCATTCCCTGTGAAGACACCATTCAGCCTGCATTTACCCATTTCCTACAAAGCGCTTTTCTTCAGGCCTCTCGGATAAGGATGTACCTGGCACTGCCAAATACAGTTCCTGTCAACACAGGAAAATAAGAGTGCTGAATGAATTTGTGGAATCTAGAACATGGGATTCCTATGGGAGAACTGATTATTTCCTATCCAAAACAGGATGTCCTCACTTGAGAAGTTCTGGTGTTCAGGGGCATTTCAAAGCTCTAACCATTGTTTTCGTAGAAGCCTGTGGGAGAACTGGGTAAGCGGGGTTCAGAATGCCCTCGAGGGAATACTGAAAGCGTCTCAGGATGTACTTCTCTTGTCCGCAGTGTATTGCTGCTGTTGCCTTGCCAATGTTTCTCTGCCTGGTCTTGGAGGAACTGTCCCAGAGTCCAAGCCATTCTTCTATGTGAATGTGGCAGACATAGAAATGCTGGAGACAGAAGTATCATATGTGGCCTGTAAGTACGATGGATTAGGCATGACGTTTTTAACTTCAGGCTGCAAAATGTCTTGAGACACCAGACTGCGGAATAAAATTTGATGAGAAATAGGATGTGCATGGAATGACTAACTACGAAAGCAGGAGAGAACAGTTGGTCTGCTGGGAAAGCAACATGCTGCTCTGAAAATCTTCTCTGATTTTGACAGGTACAACAGAAAAGATCTTTGAGGAGAAACGGGATCTCTATGATGTCTATGTGGACAACCAGAATGTGAAGACACATCACGAGCATCTGCAACCACTCCTGAAAATTAACAATGCTGACAAGGAGAAGTACCGACGGCTCAATGACCAGAGGTAATAATAGACATCTGGGTGGTCCTGGTCCTGATAGGGGAGCAGTGCAGCGTGAGATAAAGAGGACACTGCTCCTTTGTACTTTCCTTGTTGTCTTAGTATTTTCAGAGTTTCCCACTGCTTCAACTCATCTCTTTGAGATTCTGGTTCCACTGTAGCTGACTGGTATGAGAGCCCCTGGGCACTCTGCACACATACGATTACTCTGCCGGTGAGCTGATGGAGCGGATAGAAGGCAGGAAGAGAAGCAGAGGTGGTGACTCACCATTGGTTTCACTGATCAGTAGTAGAACTGAAAACATAGCCTGATTTCTAGTCCAATGCCTTATAAAGACTACCCTGTTGCCTCAGACATCGGGGCAACGGTGTTAGTCTGATTGGTCTCCAAGAAATGGATGTGAAGTTTTTTGTTGTAATCCTTGTCTTCTCATAATGCTTCGAGGTTCACTGTAGGTATGTGCGTTTAATCTCTCTCCCTTCTCTCAGGCAGATGTTAATGTATTCTCAAGAAGTGGGTGAAGATTGCAGCTCCTGTGAAGAGGACCTTTTCATCTTGTGAGTGGCTACCTCTAATACTTAGTTGGTCACTGTTAGGTTTAGGGAACCTCTTTCACTGGTTTCATGTTGCACTGGTTTGGCATATTATGAAACATCATGGTTAACGTAATTCCATAGTCAGCTCTCTCCCTCTAAGGATCCAAGAACCAAACGGGTTCTTCCTCTTCAGATCATCTTCCTTTCGAGTAGCCACATGCAGCCATATTAGTCTCCACTGGAGTCTCTTAAGTGCTGGGAGGGAGAAGGGAATTTTAAAAACACAATTAGAAATGCAAGAATCCCCTCCCATTTTTGAAAACATAAGCACCATAGGACTTTTCACACCAGAACATTTGGCTCAGGAAAGGACAATGTCTGTGGGAAGCAGGCACTGTACCATGCTGAGGGAGGTACAGTATGGCGATAAGACCTGCGTGTGAAGGATTGGCCCATTGATGTGGCTAGCTTTGTACTTGGCAAACAGAGGAACCAGAACTGGGTGTAGAGTATGAGGTATGGAATTAGATGAAAACCACACCTCTACCACCTTCACTGCCTGCTGCTGCTGTTCACAGTCTGCAGCAGGTGAGAAGTAACAGGGTGAAACTGTGTGAAGGGCTGTCAGGGCAAAGCTCTGATTGTTGAGCTGCACAGATGTAGTCAGAGCTCTTTCTGAACAGCCTTGCATGTTCCTAGGAAAGTACTAGGTAAGAAGTAGCTCACACTGCTGTGTTCTGTGCCAGTAATGGAGAATTTATTTACTCAGTGGCTTACTAGATGGATGACAACACTGTTTCCTCCTTTGCATTGTGGGAGTTCTAGGTCTGATGTACCCACTCGGTTACCAGAAAGTACACATAGGCTGATAACGTGGCTTGCTTCTGAAGAGTGAAAAGCCTCCCATAAATCAGCCAGACAGAAGCACCACTGTAAATTAAAAGTTACTGCTTTATCTTTGTTTATTCTGGGTCATCCGTAGGGTGGATGGAAAACTAGTACAGCGTCACCCAAGAAGGTGGGATCTATGATTAAAGGGGGTTAAATGCAGTTCTGGGGCTCTGCTGCCTGTTTGGTAAATATGCTATCTTTTGGGGGGTCCCATGCCATTGTCTTAGCTGACTTTATCCTATAGGTTTTTCATGGAGCAGAACAACCGCATATTTCAGACGCTGATGGAGGTGTCGGCCAGCCAGGACAAGACACTGACAGCTGACCACGCACGAGGCATGGGCCTGGATCCCCAAGGGGATCGAAGTTTCCTTATGGACCTGCTGGAAGTGTATGGCATTGATGTTATGCTAGTCATTGACAACCCCTGCTGCACTTAAACCAAGGGCAAGAGAGATGGGGAGCAAAGATCACTTTTTAAAGACTACCAGACATTGCTTAGGAGTATCACTGGAACTCACCACAGCCACTGGACGGATCTCATTTTATTTAATAACTTTATATGGAGAGTATTTATAATTTTAAAACAAAATGTGATTTTATTTTCTCCCCCTTAACTTCCCAATGAGTACCTGCTCCAGGTTTTTTTTTGGTTGGTTGGTTTTGTCTCCCTTTCTCTTTCATTTGTGGTGGTTTTGTTTTGCTTAGATAGGACCAGTGGCACCTTTGCATCGATCCTCACTGTTGCCAGTGATAGCTAGGTTTTGGCCTAGCCTGGATACCTGAAGGCTTCAGGAAAGCGCTTTGTCTGATGGGGACCAATGTGAAATGCTGTAGCTGAGCTCTCAAGACTTGACTGGAAAACCCTCCTATCATCCCCCTCTTCCACTTGGGGACTGAAGAGAGCTTCAGCACAGGCTGTTAGTGGCCCAGTCTCATAAAACATCTCCTGTTCTACCATGTTTATTGGTGGGGACAGTTAAACCAATGATAAAAAACAGGACTCCTTTAAATACCCCTCACCCAACTTTTAGCAGCTGAGTTGGAATAAAGCCACCCTTCCTCGTCAATGGCAGAAGCAAGTTTGGGATAAGGGGGTGCTACAGGATCTTATGACTTTGCTTACCAGAGTGGCACGGTTTCACTTCCAGCATTTGAGGTGGTATAAACTGGCAAAGACTACACCTACCTATCTCATAGCTGGAGAAGAGCACCATCTCTACTTAATCCCTCCTACCACTTCCTCTGGTTTTCAGTTGCATCACACCTGCCGCTTTGGTTTAGAATCTTCAAATCAGCAAGATGGTCTCCCATTTAACAGGGACCAACATCACTGAGCCAGCCACCTTGCAGTCACTATGTTCTCCAGCCTCAGCTCAGATGGTGCTGGGCTGGATTCGGTTGAATAAGTATGCTTTAACTAATGTCACTAGCCCTTCCTTTGTAGCACGGTACTTGCCACTACTTTGCTTTAATATTGTCTGCTGATCCTCCTTTTGTCGAGCAGCCTTCAGCACTGCCTGCTGCTGTCCTTGGCTTTCAGTGTGAGACAGAGGGCAGTATGTGACCTTTCAGCTGGAATGGCTTCACAGTTTGCAGGAGGTTCCCTTGGCCTTTGGTGTTCTTAACTGGCACAGCTGCTAGAAGCAATGTCTAAGAGCAAGCCTTTTTTTCCCTGGGCAGAGAAGCTGTAGAACCAGATCAAGAGTGTTTCTTATTCTTGTGCTGTGGAAAGAATAGGATTCAGTTTGTGCAGGACCAGTCGTTACCTCCAGGAAGGCTGTGCCGGTAAAGAGTAATCACTTCGCCATGTGAAATCCAAGAATGGTATTGTGGGTTCTAGGTGTGACATACTGCTTTGCTCAAAATCCTTCAGCCAGTAGCAGCATCAGCTTTAAGCTAACTGTTCTTCCTGAACTGTGGCTATAGCTAATTAGCTGCTGCTTCTACCATAATAGACTTCAGCACTCTTGGAGCCTTTCTGCAATTTGTAGAAATGCAAACTGTAGCTGATGTATCCATTTATCCTAGCATTTTATAGGGTGAGACTGAGCCTGAACCACCAAACTCTCACCTGCTAATTCCTTTTAAAACAGGTGAAGCAAATGTTCTCCAAGTAGACCCTCTGCGGATTGTCTCCCTCTGGAAGGAAGGAGGCTGGCATGTCCTGTTTTTCCTTGAAGGCTATCTGCAGCAAAGGGGTAGTTTTGCTTGCTGTGGATTCAGAGGTTTTAATGAGGTGTGGGATCAGGGGCTGCACAAGGCTTATTGCACAATTCATTGGTATGAGCTTCAGCATATTATGTGCCTGTGATGTGCCTGTCTCTGAGCAGTCGCTCCCCTGCCTGCTTTTTCAGGGCTTGGGATGTTTTTGTACATCAAAACAAAAAATTGAAAAAAAGAGAAAACATGCTGCTGCTTGTATTGCCAGTTGCTCACAACTGTAACATAATCATCCTTAGAAGGTTGGGGAAGAAAAATGGAGAAAGAGGAAAAAACAGAACTGAATATAATTTAATGGAAAGACCAGTCTCTTTTCCTTAAGAAAAGGCTCTGTTTTTAAATTGACACCTCTAGTATAAAAGTGACCCACAATCTCCATGCTTTTTTCTAACTTCCACTTTAGTTTTAATGTGCTGTCTGCAGTGAAGATCCCTGAGGAAGTATAGCTGGCACTGTATTGCTGTCACTTAACTTCCTTCAGACATAAAAAAAAGGAACTGAAACTAGTCTCTAGCAATTCTTCCTCTCACTTTCTTGAAGGTTTGCTACATAGTTTAGCTGTGGTCAGCTGTTAATGACTTTCTGTTCTCTTTGATGTCAGTAGTTCTTTTGCTGAACTAAATACAAACAAACCTTTAATTTGTCATTGAAATTTTACAGCCTCTGCAGTCAGAGGCTTTCTAACACCCTGCATGAGAGCGCTATGTTCACCAGCTATCAGAACATCAGGTCTACTAGACAGCACTGCTAGAGCCCACCAAGCAGAACCTCCTGAAATTACTATTTGACATTTATTAAACCTCTGCTTTCCAGAAACTAGGTCTTCAGTTGCTACCAGTAGCGTGGGTGCAAGAAGCATCAAAGCAAGCAGATTACTGTAAAAGTAGCATCCACGCTACATCCCAGCTGGATGGCTACAGCTTATTTTGCTCTTCCTCGTAATTTTGCTTCTCTACAGCCTCTCTTGGCAGGTGACTGCTACAAAAGACAGAAAACAGAACAAAAAGGCTTCTCTACCATAACCCTTCCTTGTTTGATTTGCTGCAGAAGAACTTTCCACCTGCAATCCCCTTTTCTAATAGACATTGCTTTTATTGTTGTCACGTGGAAAATCCTTGATAAATGAGTACATAATATAAACAAATGTCTGCAGCTTGGGCCATGAGGGCTTGTTCAGTAGGCTGGTTTTGTTCGGAACCAACTTCACTGTTATCTTTCAGGGAGGTATCATAATTCAAGGTAAAACAGTTAAGTGCATACATTTAAAATCCCCTCCTTGGCACTTAATAGTTGGGTTTTTTGAATACTAGCAGCTGGGAGACAGTTACTCGGTGTATTTTTATTAGAAGAGGGAGGAAAAAGTGTGGCATATAAGGTAGGATATTGCTGATTACTGCAAAAATCCTCTTCTCCATTTGAAGTACTTTTTGCCTTTACAGTGGTGCCTTTAATTTCTTTGGTGTGATGTCTCTGGTCAGTTGTTTGTGATCAGAGCCCAGGCTGAATGGTGGTTACAGTGACCATGTATATATCCTGTGCCCTGGTAGACACAGTCTGGTATGTTCCTCTCTAACACCCAAGTCATAGCACAGCCATTGCAGGTTCTCAGTTGGTACTTGCTTGAGTTTAAACAGGAGAGCAAGAGCTTCATAGTTGCATCTTAACTCAAGTTGCACTAGAAATGTATAATTAAGTAATGAATTATTATTACTTGTACTATGTGCATTGGAGGGTAAAGCTTGGGAGAGAAATAAAAGCTAGGTTTTTAATCTGAACAAGGGATACCATGCCAGACATTTAAATCATGCAAAAGTCTTCCCACTGCAAGGTTAGGCCAAGCTGCACAGAGCCAAGTACAACTAAGAACTATAATGGATGCTAGAAGAAAGGCATTTTACTGGATTAGAGTTCAGATTTGTCTTAGAGACATGCTAATACCTTCTTTTCTAGCATATATGAAGTAGTTACTCCAATGTATGTTAGAGCTAATGGTCATGCCTGTCACAGGAGATGAGCTCACCTATCCAGCATCCTTAAGGGCATAAGAAAGTTCCATCACTTTTCAAGGGAAAGTAGCTTAGTGTACAGTTTATTCTGTAAAGCAGCGCTACTAAAATACTTCCATTTTACGAACAGCCAAAGTTAATGGGCAAAAAGCTAGGAGTAGCTGTGGCCCTCTTGGTGACAGACTACGCAGGAGACAGGCGTGCTTTGCTCTGGGAGGGGAAAGGCAAGAGCACTCTGTCCTAATGCAAAAGTCTAGGTACAAAGCACGCATACTAACCCAAATTCTCTCATCATAGCTATTACTTCTAAGTTAGTTGCTGTCTCCTTTCTGCCCCTCCAAAGCTAGCGGACTAGTGATTATGGGAAAAGACAACACATCTGTCTTTTGCGAGGAACTGGAATGTACTGACTTAACAGAATGATACGTCTGTCTAAAACAGAGGGTACTAAATGCCTATGAACCGGGAGTTCAGGTGCTGGTTAATGCAATATGCCATTCGAATGGGAATGTTTAATCATGGTTAAAATAAAAAATGGTGCCTTGGGCTGGTCCATCATCAGGTTGTTATCCTTCCTTTTCATTTATGTTACAGTATTTAAGCCCTTCTAGAATGGACTGTAAGTTGAAGCCAGGATAAGTGTTTTCATGAGTGGGACCTAGGATTCTAATCCTGCTTCCTGTCTTGGAGTTCATACAAAGAAAGTTGTTTGTCTTGCTGTCAGACAAAAACATGAGAACCGAGTCCTTTCCTCAACACTGTAGATAGCGGGTTCAGCCCCTGCTTATTTTATGTAATGGTTTCTTCACACCTCCCCTCTGAATGTTGCAATTCAGAGGTCTAGAACCACTCCATACTGGAAGACCTCTGAATTCTAAAGGAAGGGGAAAAATGACTTGAATAGTATTTATACAAGCTACTGAACTTATGCTGATATGAATATTTAAATATCAGCCTGTGTCTCAGACGATCCTTGGTACTTTAACATCAGAGCAGCATTAACAATACCAATTCTGAAGGGAGCTCTTGGTTACCCTCAAGCAAGGAATCACATTGCAACAGGAGCTGTGTGTCTGATACTATGGAAGAGAATTAGTCATTTTCCCTGTAACACGGTACAGATGAACCAGAAGCTGGTTCTTGTCATCTCACCCCTTGCAGCAGGCTGGTTGTAGCTCTAACAGCTCTGATGTTGTTTGCATCTTGCAGAT